ATGATTCATTGTGCAATTAGGAAGTAACTGCGGCCAAAAAGTGTAGGTCTCGATGCCTACGCTACTCTGCTGTTTGCTGTTTTCAGCTGAGCTGTGCTTTTCCAACAAACCCTGCAGAGATGATCTAACTGGCAGCTGAGTGGAAACGCCCCAGTTCTCACAACGCCTCAGACAATTTGATCAGTCCCAAAGGCTTTCCTTCTACGTTGTTGTATCTTGGGTTATCTTTGTAGTCATTGTTCTCACTTTTTTACAGGAAAATATAATAGAAAGCTGTGGAAGGCAAGACTAGTTCCTGGACCTTTCTTTGTGATGACTCCAGATGCTGACTGACCCCGAATGATCCATTTTCACTTTTTCCCCCTTTTTTTGGTCAAGAACTTTCACCCTCTTCCTGAATAGATAATCGTGTTATCTTAGAACCTGCAACCCTGTTTTCAAATCCCTTAAGTTTCCTGTTACAATAAAATAAAAGCAATTAATATCTTTGTTTGTGAACCTTCTTTTTTAAAGTGTCGGATTTGCAAATTGGCCTCGAGAACATCCTAACCAGCTGCCTAACTTGGCGAGACGGCTATATTTTCACATCTACAGCTATGAGGTGAAAAAGCACAATATCACTGCAGCTGTCATTCGATTATACTAAATTATGCACAATTAAGGGAACATATGAGTCATTCCTGAAGAAAAAAGTCTGATGGCTTATTATACAGCAAAAGCAAACCACGTAGTGTTCTCTCAAACCATTTGGAGCGCAAGAGAACATTGTTGGTAACATTAAGAGATAGAGTTGCTTATGCGCAGAATAAGAACACATTTAAAGCAAAAAATCCATGTAGGTTGAGTGTAACGCCTTTATCGGAGTGCCATGGCATCATTGTGCGTCTGTAATGAGAAAGGGGATATTTCTTGTCTCCATTCCAGGATGCAAATGAGAACAGGATGTGTCCCTGATGAAAGGATGTCCTCCCCTCCCATTCAGCCCAGACCTTGCCAGATCGCCTGACACTAATTCAGGCAAATCTGAAATTAAGTTTCCTCTCCAATACAATTATACATGTTCTTTGTTTAAAACCAGAACATGGAAAAAAAAAAATCCCCTTTTTTTTTTTTTCCCCTTCAAGGCGACCTTGGCCACTCCCAGTGGAATGAGGTCCAGGAATGCAAAAATCGGGACAACTTAGAGCCAGAACGGCTGGTGGTGGAAGCTCCCTGGAGCTTTTCAGGTTGGATTAAACTTGCAACTCAGAACCTGAACGACCAAGCGCTAAGGGTGGATTTAGCCTGCATCCCGGGAATCCTGCAGTGCTCTTTTGTCGTTTTGCTGTCAGGGAGCCAGAGCGTAACTGAGATCAAGAGCTGGGCCGGGTGGCCGCACCGTGCAGTCCCCCCTTAGGCTGCCTCTGGGAGTGAGGCTGTGAGAGGAGCAAAGCCTAAGCTCCAAATGTACAGCAGATGCTTTCTGAGGTCGTGTTTATTTGGTCGAGAGTCAAACATTTTTTAAAGAGTTCTGAAAGAAAAATGTCACCCTGCCCTATTGTGCCAAGTTCAACTCCATCTTGTTCCTCTGCAATGGGATCATCATTTGAGTTTTCTGTGGCCAACAGATATTTACAAGGAAAAATAGCAGTGGGAAAATACTACTTTTGGTTTTTTGTTTTTTTTTTTTAAGCATCATGAACAAGGAGGAGCATTAATAGTCAGTGGTTAATAAGATCTCCTGGGCTTCCCAGGGTGGCTCTTGCATCTCTCCTGTAGTCCTGCCGCACACAGTCTGCGGACAGGCTCTGCTTGCTAAAACATCAGGGCTTGCTCCTAGCTAAAGGGAATTCATTTTCTAAGCAGCTACAAAAATAAAAATCTTTTCCCCTTGCCTGGAGTTCTCTGCCAAGGAGCCCATGCCTACAACACATAGAAACGCCGAGGACTATCTGGCTTCCATCTGTGCTGTACCAATATGTGTTAACGTCTTATCCAAAACACACTGTGTTCGACCTTTCCTACGCAGCACTTTGTTCACTCTTTTCTGCAGGCATCCCAAAAATATACTGAGGGAGTTTTTCCTGTTCCCTAAGAATTTCTGACTTTCATATCGACCTGTTGGAGCCATTAGGTAGGAAGGCCGATGCAGAGAAGCCCTCAGTCTCCTAAACTACATTGCAGAATAACCTGAAGCAAATAGGCGCAGCAGGAAGGGGAAGGGTACAAAAGCAGCCTTTACGAAACCCTTCTGAACCAGGCATCTGAGCAAAGACAGAGCAGAAGAGTCTCCAACTGCCAATGCTTCATGCCCGAAGTTCAGGTGGGCAACAGCCGATCACGTTTGTCCAGATCTTACGACTGGTCCCCAAATTTGTCGCATAAAAGTCTGTGGTGGTCAGTGGCTTGAGCAGCATTAACCGGACACTGGCAGAAGAGGCAATGTGATATTTCCGACTCTTGCAGAAGGCTCCCGGTACGGTGACAGAAGAGGCAATGTGATATTTCCGACTCTTGCAGAAGGCTCCTGGTACGGTGAAAGCAATTCTGGTTCTCGAAAGAGGCCCGACAAATAAATAGGGTGGCTGTACGGCAAATTCAACACCTCCGCGGATAAAAGCAGACAGGGCCAGGAGCTTCCATGGCAGACCGTTGACAGCTACGCTCCTTGCACGCTTAACATTTTAAGACACGAGTATCCATCGAAAGCGGAAACTAAGGACAGCGGGACCACAGCATCAGTCTGGATTCGACCTGCCGTCTTTCAGGACCCCCACTGCTTCGCTGTGTTTTACTTGCCCGCAAATGTACTCCGAAACCCTCTGCCAAAAATCAGGGGGTACTAACAAAAGACCAAGCTAGGATATAAAGTTACTCAAGACCAATCAGATGAATCCGGAAGACATGTGCAGCGCAGGTACTTAAAGGAGTCAAGCAGTACGGCAGGAAAATCAGCATTTATTTCAAATGCTGTTGGTTGTATACGGAATATGCAATGCCTACGTAAGACCTCAGAGGCAGAGCGTGCTTTTCCAACGTTTGAAAACATTGCAGATAAATGATAACAAAAACCACAGTTTCACCTACGTAAATACAAGCCCCAGAGAAAAAGGGTGAACAAGTAGTGGAAATTAATTGCAACATCTAAATATACACATAATAAAGTGTTTAAAGTTTAGCTCTGACTATACTGTTGCCTTCATAAAGGGCTCAGTTTGACAGTAATCCCTCTGAGAATGTAAATATTGAAGAAAACCGATTGTAACATTGACCTAGACGGTTTGGGGTGGAGTTTCTGCCTGTTGGAAGAACAGGATGGTAAAAAAACGAACGAGGAGCTCCTAAGGAGTTTAGAAGCAAATCCACGTTATTGACTCTTCTCAGAACAACTTTTTTCCTCTCCCAGCGGACTGTTGGCCCTCAAGCTCTCTCTGAAGCTGTGGCTCAGAGGACTTTTTCAGGTTCAGCGCATATTGGAATTTCAGCTATGCAAATATTTGCTGCGTTTATTAGTTCCCTCTTTCTTCTTCCCCCTTTCCATAGGCACAATAAGTTGAGCTTGCCAACGCCATTCCTGAAGACGGTGGAAAAGTTTCAGTCCTTGCAACACTACGCCGTGCCCTTTCAAAGTCAGGGCTTGGATGTGTGAATCGTTAAAAAAGACCCCACACGTTTTATTGGCTGCAGCACAGTAATTTTTTTTCAGTGAAGATGTGGCTCTGCAAAAAAATCTATTGCTTTTTTCTTTCTCACAGCGGGGACGGGCTGAGCCTGTGGAACGTATTACTCGACAGCCACCAGCTGAAAGGCTAACTAGAAGAAGCGCTGCTCGTGACATGACCACCCGCTCGTATAAAACCTGCCAAACGCTTTCCTTTGTGGAGAGTACCTCTTAACGTTTCCATGAACGCAGCTTACCGGAAGCGTCCATGGGACTGATCACACCTCTCTGGATGGCCTTCCCCCATCCATCTTTGGGCTCTAGAGGGGTCCACACATGCGCCAGGAGCTCCTCCAGCCCTGCGAAGAGCAGGGGAAAGTGAGAATTGGTTGGGTTTCCCCCAAGCGGGTTGACTTAGCCCCAAATGGGCTGAGGAGCCTAGCAATCTCCTCCAGCTAGCAGAACTACGTCTGTAACTCAAGGCTTAGCTACCGGCGCTGAAGGTAGCTTCAGCTGGCCAACCGTTCTTTACTTTTTACCTTAAAAAAGTGTTTCACCTGTTTTAGTTTCAGCCAAGTGACACTGTAATGTTCCTCCAAAGATTATCAGCATTCCTCACTCTGCTGCCAGTTCAGAGTTTATGGAGGCAATGTCTCCGTGCCTCGACAGCAAGGCTGCCCGCTTGGCTGAGAAGCAGCTACAAAGCTATAGAGAAGGAGGGTTTCCAGCTATTGAAGATGTTCTTCCTTAATTGATGGTTATTTGCACTCATGCATCAGGTTGCTTTTTTTTTTTTTTTTTGTGGATGGCCGCTGATGGTGATGCTTAAAAAGACACGTTAGTCCCAGCTGTGATGAGAAGTGGCATTACAGAGGAGGAGAGGGGAACACAAGCGAACAATAATTGTACAAGCAAAGTGGCAGCGGTTCTGCACAAAATCAGCAGGCTGAAACAAAGGAGTTCAAAAGTGCCTTGAATAGCACAGCTTGAGGCCGATTTTTGCAGTTCGGCCGCTTGCGAGAACAGAACGATCTCACCTGGCCCGCTGGGCTTCAAAACCCGTACGCGCCACGTGTAACGTCAGCGTGGACTCTCGCTACCGGAGCGTGGCGTTCGCTGTGCCGGGTGCAACGAGGGCACTTAATGAAAACGGAGGTCACCACCATTTTTCATCTGTCCGCTTCCTAAACAATCATGGCCTGCGTCCAGTCGCCGTGAGGCTGCGTGACCTGCTGGGACCGTTCCCCGCAGCACTGCGTAACTCCCCACGTATATATATGTCTTAGCGCTTTGCATTCAGTCCCAAAGGAAGCTCGTTGCCTTTCACCGCTTAACACCCGGCGTACAGGCTCTCTCCACCATGAAGCTGACTGTTATTCTGCTCATCACCGTCGTGCTTTGCAGCTCCCTTGGTAAGTTTTACCACTTACAGAAAAAAAGAGAGGATTTGGGGGATGGTTATTATTATTATTTTGTTCTAGACAATTTGTAGCTGCAACCCTACTGGCAGAAACAACGCCTCCGTGCTTCCCACTGAAGACTTCTGCAGGTAACAGGGAAATTTAGCTCTCTGGCCTCCAAAGGAAATACTAATCACTGCAACTTGTAGGTGGCCACTGAGGTTTGGGGTTTTTTTCTCACTTAGACGTTTAGGGCAGGGTTCACCTGACTAAATCTGGGCTCTAAAACACAACGATGACCAGTGCTCGATGAGTTGGCCTTGGGCTCTCCTTTGAGTCAACGGTTCGCCCTAAAGCCACTGGTGCCTCCGCTATGTTAGATGAGCTTCCCTGCCGGCTCCAAGGACCAGACCTCCGTGGGCTGGCCAGAGAGCCTAGGAGATGTATCTCAGACGTAGATGCTTGACCTTAGGCAAAATGAATCCCCCTGCCCCCAACTCCGGTATTTGATGGTGGGCAGCCACGACTCTGCCTCACTAACGTTACCTCCACGCTTGCCTCCTCGGCCCTGTGAAGGCGTCTCATCTGGGGCAATGCTGAAGCTGGAGTGCCGGAACATAGAAAGCAAAAACGGGTTAAAAAGGAAACCAGGGAGGTGAAAATGCGTATGAAAACAGAGGCAATGTTTTTGGAGCTGTCTGGGGCTTGGCGGGTGAAGGCACAGCCTGGTTAATTCCTCCAAAGTCGTTACCCAAGTGCGTAGTTGCTGGCAGTTAGGGTTAGAGAAACACTAGGCTGTCCGGGGGTTTGCCGTACATCGATTCGACAGTCGTCTAGATTATCTCATCAGATAAAGAAACTTAAAAAGTAGGTAGAGAATATGGATTTTTGTTAAAGTGATTCTCACGTCAGAGCTCATAAATTAAGAACAGGGGCCATAATACAAGAATTGAGCAGGCTGCCGAATTTCTTGGAGCGGTGATTAAACCGAGGCAGTTCCCACGGAGGGAGCACGGAGAGGGGATGAGATTAGCTGGGCAGCCCTGGAAGAAGAGCAGGGGGAGCAAAAGGAGCCGTTTTTGGCGGTACAAGACGGGCAGCAAGAGTTGGGCTTGAAGGGCAGAGACGTGAAGAGAGCAGCGACGTTTCCAGTCTCACCTGAAACGCTGGCCGATCCCGAGGCGGGAGGTAAAACGTCACGACCGCAGGCTGCAGACCACACGGCCGACCAGCGACGACACGCGCGCAGATGGGAGAAGGGAGCTGGGAGGGTTGTTTTTTTTTTT